TCAATCACGTCAAGTAGAATTGTACAATTGCTACCACAAAATCGGTTTTCAAACAACCTTTTTCTGCATGGACCCCTTGACATCTCTGTCTTTTACCTCACCATCACCACCGTACTTTCCTCCTCTGAGGCCCTTACTCTGCCTGCTGTCCCTGTAGGTTCATCAGTCCTGGGTTTCATAGACCGAACAATGGAAAAGCATGTAACACAGCTTCAAGAGGGCGACCTCCATTGACAGAACACCTCGGAGATGCACTCTTACTATGAACAAACAAAAATTGAACAATACAAACCAAAAATACAGAAAATATTGGAAACCAGATCAGGTCCAGCCTGCATTATAGGGGAGATTTACTGGCACCATTTTAACTGCTCAGGTCAGATTTATGCTTTTGATCTAATATATTCCTCTCTCCTGAGCACTGTTTAGTATACACTTTCCTCCAATCCCTCAATTTTTAAATAGGGGGAGTTCTCCAGAGGCGTATTTCCTATGTAGCTTCACTAATGGATCTTGGACTCCCACTGTCATCCATCGCCTTCTGCACACCAGAGTCTCAGAACTTAGGCTCTGATACTGATCCCTCCTTTGACTTCAAATTACTGTATATGGATTCCAATCCTTCAGTGACTGATGATGATGTGCTTCTTCCATGTGAACGTCGTTGACATCACACTTAGATGGCTGCTTGTGTGGAGACAAGCCTGCAGGACCCCAGGTGCTATTTTATCTGACTGCTGGGCACCATCTACATTCTTCAGCACATTTTGCTATAGCACCCGGTATCTTCTGTGTTCCTTGCCTGAGGGTGAGTATCAAACAGGGCCATGATGTAAGAACTAACTTCTTAAATTGGAGCTAGGATTTAGTGGAACCCTGAACCAATTTCTATGCTTTCCCATGCCCCCCCCCTTTTAATTGGCTGTAACTTGGGAGTTAATACATGTCATATCATTCCATAGTTCAATCACTTTGTAAATATTTTGAAGAGCTTCCCAGAATAGATTCAAATTCAAATTCCTTACCATGATCTTGCTGCAAGGTTCTATGAGATCTGGTTTGTTTAACCCTCCAACCTTTCTGTACCACGATTTCTCAGTGGAACTTTACTCCAGTCATCCTGGAAAGATTCTCCTCCCTCAATGTGCATAAACCTCTTCCCTCCTTCGTGTACATGCTTCCTCGATCTACAACACTGTTCCCCAGATCGCCGGGAGGCTGCCTCCTTCTCAATGTTCAAATCTGAAACCGCAAATACCATTTTATCAGAATGAATTTGACTTGTCTAGCCAAAAACGACCCTACTTCTTTGATTGCGTTTGCTTCCAAGCACTTTTCATTTCTGGAGAGTATTTAGCTTCTAGGAACAATTGTAAGGATGGCACAGGACGGAGTGGTGTTTGTGCACAGGGTCGCTATGGGTCAGAACCACTTGTTGGCACCTAACCACCCACCAGAATCTAAGCTTCGTGAGAAGCAGGAGGTATGCGTGGTTGTTCGCCAAAGTATTCCCTACAAGTCTAGAAGAGTTCGCGGTGTGAAATGGTCTCTATAAATATTGGTGGCGGGTTTACAAAAGGATAAATTCCTGATGAATTGTAAAATTACATCAAGCCCCGGCGGTGCGGTGCGGTGGGGTAAGCATTGCGCTGCTAACCGCAAGGTGGCGGGTTCAAACCCACCAGGCAGCCCCTCGGCTGGAGAAAGTAGAGGATGTGCCGTCTCCGAAACCCAAGAGCTGTTCTACTCGGCCCTATAGAGCTGCCGTGAGTCAGACTCGACCCCACGGCCGTGGGTTCCCTGCGAAACGTAAGAGCCGCTGAGGAAGACCAAACCCCGCCCCCAGGACGACCAAACCCCGCCCCCTGGGCGACTTCCGCCCACGGCCTGCGGTCTTCTGCGCATGTGCCGTCGCGGCGCGGTGCTTTCTGGGTAAAGATGGACGTCCACGATCTTTTCCGCCGGCTGGGCGCCGGGGCCAAGTTCGACGTGAGTCGCTTCTCGGCGGACGCGGCGCGTTTTCAGGTACTGTTCGCCGGGGACGGAGGTGGCCAGAGGCCGAGGAATCTGGAAGGAGCGCGAGCTCCAGAATGAACGGCCACTGGGGGAGCCTGTGGACCCCGAGTGCCGGCGGCCTGACCCTGACCTGACGTGGAGCAAAAAGCTGCTCTCCTCAGGGGACCGGTGAACCTGCCTCTTTAACGGGTTCAAGTCCCGTCTTAATGAATTCTGTCCTCGCTTCTTCTGTAGATGTAGATGTAGCTGGGGTTGGCGCGAAAATGTAGCCCCCTCCCTCCCTAGCTTCGTTGATTCAAGACAGTCCTTTCGAAAGAATCTCACCCCTGAAACTTGTAAAGAATTTTGAAAACAGCGAAAAATGTAAAGGCCAGCTGCTTCTACTACAGTGTATCCACGTTTAGCTTAAGATGCAGTCGTTTTCCGGACAGGATTCTTTCTGAGCCAACCCCGTGTACGTCAGCCAGAGAAGAGTGGCCCAGGATACGGACTCTTAACATAGGGAAGGAACGAGTCGGTGGGAAAACCTTGAATATTAACTTTTACACTTGACACGAGGTACTGTCAGGCAGCCATCGAAAGGTTTTTAAATGACGTGTGCTGCTGCTTTCTCTGACTGGCGGTATAAAAACCCCAAAACCTACTGCTCTTGAGTTGAATTACAACCCATTTGGAACCCTTTGGGCCAATAACTGTTCCTGAGTTTCTGAGACTGTACATTTTTATGGACTAGGTAGCTTTTCATCTTTCAAACTCCCTAGCTGCAAAGGTGGTGCTGCAGTGCACAACCCACTAGGGCCTCTTCACTATACTGCCAACAACCACATCAACCATCATCTAGTTGATTCCAGCTCAGAACCACGTTGTGTAGGGTTTCACAGGCTGTAAACTTTTTCAGACTCTGGTGGGTTTGAATCACCAACCTTGCAGTTAACAGCTCAATGTTAATGGGACAGCACCATCAGAGTTCATCCATTTACGGGGTTCAATATAAAAAAAAATTATAAAAAACAAAACAAAACCCAAAACTCCACTGTTCAAGGACATTCTGACCTAGCTATCAGGGTTAAAAAATTGACTTGTGGAACCAGGTCATCTGGTTCCAAAATCTGGGTCTGCCAGTTCCTACTATTAAACATTTTGTTAATTTACTTAATCTCTGTGCCTATTTTTTTTTCATATGTAATGATGCTATTTATTTCATTGGGTTGCTGTTAGGATAAAATAATTTCATGTGGAAACATGGCTTAGACAAACAGTAAGTAACTTTAAGTGTTAGCTGCTATTTTGATTATTAATTTTAAACAGTTAGGAAAGATACCTTCTTGGATTCGATTTAACCAAATACATTTGTCAACTCAATGAATACTTGATAAATTGATTTTTTTTTTAAGGGGTAGGAAGAGTGGTTTTTCTTACTGGAAATCTTGCCTGGGTGAAAGCAATGCCATTCTATCAGATTTTATTTTATTTTTTAGCTTGGAAAAAGGAAATATGACTTTAATTCTTCAGAGATGCTGCAGGGGCTGGACTTTTTTGGAAACAAGAAGTCTGTCCCAGGCGAGTGTGGAGTATCTGGAACACACCAAGGGCTCCAAGATGAAGAGAAAACGGAAGAAAGCCTTAAAAGGAGGAGGGAAAAGAAAAAGAGAAAGATGATGACTTCAGGTTAGTGCCTAATTTTAGTTATGTTTTTTTTTTCTTTTTTCAGTTAACAAAAGTAATGTAGGCAAGGTCTGTCCTCCGAGAATTTCATTGAGAAACTTTCCTCCCTCCAGTGCCCAACCCTGCCCTTTCCTCCTCAGACTCCTTTTTCTTCTCAAAACTGAAAAAGAATACAGTTTGAAGCCCTCCATGTTGCCAAAACTGCTGTTTCGACATGGTGTAAATCAAAGAATTGGAGAGGTGGAAGCACCGCCTTTGGCAGTGTACAGACCTACTCACAGGGGCTCCACATTTTGATGCTTCCGCTTAATTAAGGTTTCTGTGACTTCGTAGCAATACTTTTTTTGCCCTTACCCTTTTGTAGCTATTCAGTGGAATGCTACCTAGAACAACATAAACGTAAAGAACGACTAATACATGCAACCACATTGATGAATCTCAAAATAAATGCCAGGTGAAAGAAACCAGACCAAAACTAATACATACTATATGGATCCATTTATATTAAATTCCAGAAAATGCAAGCTGATCTACAGTGAGAGAAAGCAGACCCATCGTTGGTTAGGGGCAGTGTGATAAGTCACATGTGGGGATGGTTTAATGGGTCACAGTTCATCATAGTACATGCTTGTGAAGTATATGGGATTTATTACAGATTAATTATACCTCACAAAAATTAATTCCAAAATTCCAGTAGACCAGTAAGTCTTAATTTAATTAGTTTTCCCCCCCTCTTTTTTAATTCTCTTGGGTTGTTTTTTCCCCCCATATAAACCTTAGAGTCAGAAATCCAGTTAGCAAAACAATCCTGTCATTTTATTGAACTAACTGGCCTAATTTATTTATAAATCATTTTATTGGGGGCACGAACAGCGCTTATCACAATCCATACATAATCCATTGTGCCAAGCACATTTGTACATATGTTGCCATCATCATTTTCAAAACATTTTCTTTCTACTTGAGCCCTTGGTATCAGCTCATTTCCCTCCTCCCCCACACTTCCTCCCTCATGAACCCTTGATAATTTATAATTTTTTTTCCCCATGTCTTAACACTGACTGATGTCTCCCTTCACCCACTTTTTGGACTTGTTATTTATAGAGGAATTTCCATCTCTATAATATTGAGTATTCCTGAGTATTGCTATTTTCTCTTTTCTTATCTATAGTGTATCAGTTGATACTTTTTCTTTTGTTTAATGTAAAGGGAGGTCATTAGCTGTAGCCATGAATGTCACACTTAAAACTTTTTAATTTTAAATAATTTATTTAGAAATTACTTCTCCAGAAGAAGGAACTACAATACAGTGGATGTCATCAGTGGAAGCCAAGTTTGAAGATAAAAAAGTTAAAGAAGAAAAAAAGCTAACTTCGGGAAAGTTGGAACATCTCAGAAAGGAAAAGGTTAGATAATGTCTTATGCCCCTCAAAATGTATGCTTTTCTGACCTAGTGCCGTTTTTGATGGACATGGAATATTTTGTTGGTGAAAGTGAATGTAGTTTGCTGAGGTAGAATAATAATTATATTTGATTGGATGTTATTTTAGTGGAAACTTAAAAGTGGACATGTGTGCTGTGGCTGAACGTTTAAAGTTTTAAATTCTGAAGTATAAATATTTCTTGACAAGCTGCTTAAGTTTCTGGATTAGAATTCAATTTTTAAAAATTATTATTAGCCCTTGTGGACTTACCAGATTTGGGTCTAGGGCCATGCTCCTCAATCCCCTTTTGATCAACAGAAAATGTAGTCCCCTTTCTCTGCGTTGAGTTCCTTGGTTCAGCTGTATTTCCTCTGATAGGTAATAGAAGTCTGAAGAATCCTGTTTTTTTGGCCCTGAATCAAGGCTAACAGTTTGATGGAGCTGTTGGCTTCAAGCAGGAGCCTAAAGAAATGTCTTCCTATGGTCTGTTGGCCATTTCA